TCACATCATGGCGCAGGCATAAGCTACATTCAAGACTTTTTATTGTCAAGAGGCACTAACATTAGACTATCTTTCAATGTGGATGTTTGCCAATAATCATAAATAAAAAACTCACTCAAACAATTCCTAAAGTCAGTACCTTGGGTAGATGGTATTTCTTTATAAAAAACTTTGTTAGAAGTATAGGAGTACCTTGCTTGATTGCCCATGGCGCAGGCATAAGCTACATTCAAGACTTTTTATTGTCAAGAGGCACTAACATTAGACTATCTTTCAATGTGGATGTTTGCCAATAATCATAAATAAAAAACTCACTCAAACAATTCCTAAAGTCAGTACCTTGGGTAGATGGTATTTCTTTATAAAAAACTTTGTTAGAAGTATAGGAGTACCTTGCTTGATTGCCAGTGGGATCGATTTCTCTCTTGTGCATCACTGAATGTTTATAAATGTCAGACTTAAAGAAGAGTTCTGTGTAAGCTCGACAGCTTGTCTCTCTCACCAACAGGAGTTGGTCCAATGAAAGATATCACCTCACTCACCTTGCCTCTCAGCTCCCAAATGGCTTTTCAGATAACGTGCCATGCTGCTTTCAGAGCTGTCATGCTAGCAATTCAGCAAACCAAACTGAGATTCAGAAAAAAAGTGTGATTTTCAGACACTATTTAAACTTGAAAGCCTGCAAACTCTCTTAATGCATCATTTGAGAGGCTAGGAAAGTTTGTAAAACTGATCCATATACATGTGACAAACTTTTTCTCTTTAACAAGTAAGAATAACAAGAAAATCATATTAACTACAAGCCTCTCACTAGATTAATAGATCAAAAGTTTTAATCTATAAGTGGAGGGCAAATAAATGGATCTTCATACCTGGGTAAATGAGTAAATGTTCATATAACTACAAAATCAGTTGGCATACTTAGAAAGCATAAAGTTCTACAAAAATATTGAAGATAAATACCTTAAAAGCAGCAATAACTATCTGAAATAACAGATGGATGCCTCCTCAGCTTATCACATCATTGTGGTGATCATGGCAAGAATCACTTACCACTCTTTCATGTGATTTTTATATTTTGGCAATTAGTGGGACTACATAGGCAAGCTGCAGCTTGAGGTCAATATTACTTATGCAGAGACTAAGCCACATTCATCAATTCATCCTTGGCTTGGCTCTGTTGAAATGAATAACCATAGATGGATTTGGCCAAGCATAATTGCATGGTTCAGTAGTTATAGATCATGCCTATTGCCGTTCCACTGTCCATATACACAAGGGCTTCGTCTACACTGGCCCTTTTTCCGGAAGGGGCATGTTAATTTCACCTATCGTAGTAGGGAAATCCGCGGGGGATTTAAATATCCCCCGCGGCATTTAAATAAAAATGGCCGCCGCTTTTTTCCGGCTTTTAAAAAAGCCGGAAAAGAGCGTCTACACTGGCCCTTTTTCCGGAAGGGGCATGTTAATTTCACCTATCGTAGTAGGGAAATCCGCGGGGGATTTAAATATCCCCCGCGGCATTTAAATAAAAATGTCCGCCGCTTCCGGAAAAGGGGCCAGTGTAGACGAGCCCAAGGTGCTCTGAAGAAAGTGTCTCTCACCTAGGCAAACTTCTCAAAGCTGTTTGCAATTTCCAGCCAGTCATCCACAAATATGGGACCCAGAGCTATAGTCCTTGACAGCCCAAAGCTTCAGACATTGCTATGGAGGAAGTTTAATCTACAAGGAAGCAGAAATATAAAACACAGCTTTTGCTCAAAAGAACTGTTTGCCCATTGGTGGGCCTCTAATATGGTTTTCAGTGACATTATGCAGCTGCAGCCAACGGATCTCAGCCAGGTCCAGCAGTGAATGGAGTGGAGAATTGTTTTTTTAACTGAATATCTGAACATGTTTTGCCCATCATTAAAATAAAGAGGAATTGTTCAAAACTGAACCATAAATGTTCGAACTCAATAGGACTTATTAGGTCACCTAGTTCCTTCCACTGGCCAAAGCAGGACTGAAAACACCTACGAATCCATACTAACAGAGCCTTCTGGGTTTGTTCTAGTCCTTTTTTTATTGTACTCAATCACTATATTCAAAAGTTTAAAAAACAACCACAAATGCCAGTGTAAACATGCTTCAGGTACATAGGTAATATAAAGTATTGCACATATAAAAGTCATATGTTCAGTATTTCTTAATGATAATATTTCATCAGAGAAAGTGTTGTGCAGATGTCATGAATTTATTTGGCTGCTGGCCTTGTTTTGGAAATTACTACACACAATTCAATATTTACAAAAGAGGAACTTTTTCTTATTATATCTGAAATGTGGAGGATGCAGAGATATATGATTCCTGCAGGATGTAGTTTGCAAGGGAATTTGTGAAATGAATTCAGCAGTTTGTTTTGAAAGAGGTCAATGCAAATCATCCTAACACAGGCTGCTGTCCCCAGTCTCAAGGGTTTGGAGGATCCAGAGTGTGGTAAAGCACTTCTCTTACCTCCTCAAAAAACAAGAGAGTTGGGGGTAACTCTCCATTCCCTATGCCTCCAGATAGGTAATGACCCATAAGGCTAGAAAAGATTTTCTTGCAGACCGATGTAAGGCATTAAAAGGGAACTTTAGCACTCAGATTTTCTAGCTACTGACATGAGGTTTAGTGATCTATCCATGAGCTGGCTGTAATAAGACAGTGGGATGTCCAAATGAACTACTTCCATGTCCTTTGAAAGATTCTTGGAATTGACAGTAGTGACCTCGCCTACTGTTGCCTCTGCCCTGAAGACAGATGCCAGCAATCTGAAAAAGCCCAAGTCACAGGATGAATCAGAAGAGGCCAGTGGCCTCCCTGAAGATGGGAAACTAAGATAGTGGGAAGGGAAACTGGCTAGAAAGAGGAAGGAGAATGAAAGTGGTGTGTGTGTGTGTGTGTGTGTGTGTCAGAAAATGGACATCCTTCTCTCAGATTCACAAAACATAGCAAATTTCAAGCACAGGATGATCCTGGGTTTTATGCAGATGGTTTGCACAGCTCTATAGTTGGATGGATCCAATTTAAAGAAAGTTCATTCACTAATGTTACAGAAAGAGTTATTGGTGAATTATGGACCTAGTCTTTTGGATCTTAAAAGCAGCAGAGAAACAAAGGAACATTTTTATTTCCTTTACAACACAATGTCTTTCCTTCGGTGGGTTATCTCAACAATGAATGATTTGCATCTCACTTCTATAAATGCAAATTCAGTGCACCTTCTCTGCAAGACTCTTTGTAATAAGAGATAACTGCAAAATACTCAACCCAACAATGTAACTTGGTGAAACAATTAGAAAACATTAAAGATCAAGTGTTGTCACCTCTGACAAAATAATCAAGAATTCAACAAAACATGCAAGTAGCATTTTTAAGAGGCTATTTTAACAAAATAAGTACCCAAAAATAGTGGTGAGATATTCAGCCCTAGCCAAAAAAGTGGACAAAAATTCCCACAGGCGTCAACTGATGTTGCACTAGTTTACATCAAAAATGGATTTGATCCACTCAATTTAGTACTGCCATCTACAGGTTGAAAAAGGTACAATATATCTTTAAAATATTTTACTGCATGCCCTTTTCAATTCAATTATTTAAATTCCCCTGCTCCCCAAAGCACCCTTGCAGCCAAAAAAATGTTCTGAATGTATAGGCCACTTCTACTTACATACAAGATAAGCAAATGATTTCTATGTTATGATTTACTTCTCTAAAACTCTGAATCTAAGATAAGATCTGATACTCGTCCCAGAAAGGTGGGAAAATAAATAAATTGTGCCCCCAGTATATAGTCCATTAGAGACTACCTTTCTGCTTCAGAAGTACTTTCACAGTACCAAAATATTGCTTGTCTCCCTGAGCCACAATTCCATAAATGTTCTTATCCATAGGGAGGTGTCAAAATATTTTGCATGATACAGTAGTGTGTGATAGTTTTGTCCTGGTCCATCTACTAGATGATACAGCAATACAGCCATTGCATCCTTGCAAGATTTGGGTTATTCTGAAAGTGATGAAACAAACCACATGCGTTCAAAAACATTTGGAGTATGATATAAAAATTAATTGCACAGTGATGGGTTATGTTTTTAAGGCAGTGATAAGGCTGGTTTCTGCCCAGGATCATCATCATGTGGTGATTTTCAGAAATGTTGCATAGATCAGATTAAAACATCATGGCACTTGTAATTTCATCGGAAGACTGTTGGTAGAAAAAATCCTTCACTTTTACAAATTTCTAGTCTTGAGCGGGACTCTGAATGGAAACTTCACTCTCCTCTTTTATGCATCAGTAGTCTTGTCATTTGTCAGTTGCTCCTTATCAGCCATATCATCTTGAGGCGGTCTAGCTCGGTCAAAGAAGCCGCACTACAGAAAACAAGCCAACAGAGAAATCACAATAAGGCAACCACATGATTGTTCTCCTACAGATTATGCCTCTTTCTTCTAACTTCCATCTCTTACCCCATTGGGAATGACTTTAGGGACTCTTCTTCACCTCTAATTTGCACATGTAGTCAACAGAACTAGTTGCATAAATATGAACTACTCACTTGAATAGGGGTTATGGAATTGGGACTATTGTGTATATGCTCTTTAGAACAGGGACATTGCCCTTTATGTTGGTAATTCCATACAGAGAGAAAATCCAGGGGAATGCACTGATATGTAATAGAACCAGCCTGCAAACTATTGAACACCCTCAGCTCTTATCAGGTTAGTGGGAGTTAAGAAAATTAGCATCTTGTGAGAGCACTTTAGCTACTATATATAAATAAAATATTATTCTACTGAAATTAATGGTTTCTTTTATAGAAATGGCTAACAGCAGCAAAGTAGTTACGTAAAAAATTCCCATAATATGATTAAATACTCAATAAAAATGAACACAAAGTGATGGCAGAAGACATCTAACTAAGTATAAATCATTATAATAAATTCAAAGACATGAACAATAGTAATGTCTATATATAAATAAAATATTATTCTACTGAAATTAATGGTTTCTTTTATAGAAATGGCTAACAGCAGCAAAGTAGTTACGTAAAAAATTCCCATAATATGATTAAATACTCAATAAAAATGAACACAAAGTGATGGCAGAAGACATCTAACTAAGTATAAATCATTATAATAAATTCAAAGACATGAACAATAGTAATGTCTTGGCGTTCTTGCCCCCCCCCCCCCCCCACCCCCCACACACACATTTTGTAATGTTTTTCTGCAATTGACTTCAATGGAGCCAGAATTTCAACCTTTGGTGGCAGAGAGATAATGTAGGATTCTGAACGGATAGGGTCCTACCAAATTTACAGTCCATTTCGGGTAATTTCACAGTCAACCCCTTTAAGGGCTCTGGGGAGGGGCGGAGGAAGAGAAGTGTTCTTGGTTGAGACTGGAGTGACACCAGGCACCCTGGGAAGGCTGGAGGCCCCTATTTTGAAATAAGTGCCTACACAGCACTTATTTTGAAATAGCTATTTTGAATTTGGCGTTATTCCTATTAGAATGAGGTTTACCAAATTTGAAATAAGTACTCCACTATTTCGAATTAATTTTGAAATAGTGGTTTGGCTGTGTATATTATGGGTTGTGATTTAAAAAGTCAGAGACAACTTGCTAATATTAAAAGAAATCTCCTTAAAATAATCTCATCACAGATTGGGAGAGGGATTGTATAATTACAGGCTAACAAAAATGGCAGTTCCTTAAGCATTCAAGGAAAGCCAAACAAAAATGCTTTATAAACCTAAACACTCCAAAAAGAAGTTTTGTGAATCAGAGTCAAACTCTGTGGCTGTGTCTAAACTACATCCCTTTTTCGATAAAGGGATGTAGCTTAGGCAGGTCGACATTGCAAATGAAGCGGAGATTTAAATATCCCATGTTTCATTTGCATAATGGTGGCTGTCGCTTTTTTCCAAAATGGGGCTTTTTAGAAAAAATATGGCAGTTTAGACGGGGCATTTCTGTCGAAAATGCCCTGTCTAAACTGCTGGTTTTTTTTTTTTTTTTTTCCAAAAAAGCCTCTTATTTTTTTAGGAGTACAGGATCTTTCACAACAGGGCATTTCCATGGAAGATGCCCCGTCTAAATTGCCGTTTTTTTTTTTAAAAAGTACCATTTTGAAAAAAAGCAGCAGCCGCCATTATACAAATGAAGCATGGGATATTTAAATCCCGGCTTCATTTGCAATATCGATGTGCCTAATCTACATCCTTTTATCAAAAAAGAGGTGTAGTTTAGACGCAGCCTGTAAGATTATTTATAACCAGACTCCCATAAAAAAAGAAGATTTTGAAAATAATGTTTCTTCACAAAAATCAACTACATAAGCACGTTGTCATATGCCACATCAAAGAAGACATAAGTCTATTGTTACATTTACTCAAAACTTTTAAAAGTCATAGATGCCATTCTCTTTCTCTCCCTCTCTCTCTCTCTGTCATCCTAAATCTTGTAAGTTTCCTTCCAAGTTTCATTAAGTAAATGATAATAATACAACCTACCTTCCACAAACCTAATGTCAAAATAGCCAGAACCAACAATCCAAGAAGTATTGCTAGTATTATAACCCATAAAGGGATTATAAAGGAGATATTTGGAGTAGCCCAAATGACAGATGTTCTTATCTGAAATAAAAAGATACGAGGTGTAAATGAACAAAGATTCTGTAATAAATGAAAACAGAAAATGAAACACAATGAAATTGCCCAATTAGAAACATGTTGCCTACAGTTCTTGTATATTAACTTTATTTGCTGTAATGTCTGCAACTTTATTCGCAATAATCTTTAAAATGGAATTTGCAGACATAAATACCCTTTTATTAAACCTAACATACAATATTTTCACCGACTGAATCCATAATCACTTTGAAGCTCAACAAACCCACAGCAAACATTTCAAATCCATGTAAGGAACCAAACTCTGCTCTCAGTTATACCACTATAAAATCCTGAATTATATCATTGACTTAAAGTAGAATAACTCTGAATGAATGTCAGCCCAAGTTCTCTACTGGAACTAAAATATGTATTCTGCATTGTATGTTGTAATCTAAAAAGTTTTTCTGATAAACCAGTGCAAATTTATTTATATTATTTCTACTTCAGCTCAGCTAAGCAGACCAAGAGCTAATATCCTCATATAGAACATGTCATCCATGTAATATAAGCATAATGCACAAAAAAATCCTCCTTTAAAATGATCTCTTACATTATCCTGTTATACTTAAAGGAAGCTTAGTTTACATGTAGAAAGACCATTTTAATAGACTATGATGTAATTGGGAAGGATAGCATCATTTCTCTTGTTGTCTGTGGCTCAAGAAAGCAGCAGGTGGGGATAATATGTGAATTATGAGGCGTTAATCTTCCCACTGATTTTACAAAATCGTCTAGATTCCAAGCCTTCATTATAACAAATGAAGCTAACATCCCTTCTAGCTGTTCCCCCTCTGGTCTTCCTAATAAATTATCCCCTGGCTCCCTCTCCTCCATACCTCATATCCAGTTCATTCTACTCCCTCAGATATTGCTCAAAGCTCTCTTCATCAATCTTACTTATTACTTTATTTCTCTCTGATGTTTCTAAGTCAAAAGAGTTTGCCTGAGCTTTCCTTATCTCCTTACTCATAGGTTATATCCCCTGCCATCTTTCTATAACTCTCTTCTTTTCCTTTGCACTTGGAAGTTATTTCTGTCTAGGGTTTTCTGCTGAAGCCATCTCATATACTACTCTCCTGCATAATTCAAGTACATTTGTGGCAGATGGAACTCATCTTGCTCTTCATGCTGGAATGCAATCATGAGACAGTCTCCAAAATAAATTGATTATATGCCTTCCGAGGCTGTCTTCTACTTTTACTGCTTGAGGAACTGGTAGGAAACCAGAATATCTACTTATTGAGTCTGTTACTTACTGCTAGTCCCACTGACCCATAGGCCCAGATACTTTAGTTCAATATTGTATCTTTCTGGTGTCTGCCAAGATTTTCCTCATACTCTGTTTTGGCCCTTGTCTTGCCAGCGAAGTCTCTTTTTCATCAAATTCTCCCATTCAGGTTCCCATTCCCTTTTCTTTTAAAACCTGTTCAGCTATTGTTAAATAAGTCAGCATCTACACTTAGCAGTTATGATGCTCCTCTCATTGCCAGTGAAAATCAACAGAGCTATGCTAGCGTAAAACTAGTGAAAGAAGAGGATCAGATTCAACTTTTTCAGCCCTGCCATTAATTCTTTGTTTGCTAAGATTCAGCTATTAGCTAACTGGCCATTTATGACCAAATAGTTCTGAACTTGTTCATTCCCTTCATGGTGACCTCTTGGCCCTAAGAATGAGTCATTTTAGTGATTAAGATTCTAAGATGATACAAGTGCCAAGTTAACTCCACCCCTTCTGCCTGTCTGTCTTGCTCTTTTTTAAAAACAGAGTATCTCCAGCTTCTTTTCTGAACCTGACTTTTCCCCATCTCTCCCTTGAGCATGGCCTCCCTCTCTTTCTGTAAGCACTCACAGCTCTATGCCTGCTTCCACCTGCCATCATACCTAACTGCATAAACCAGCCCTTTCCACATGTTCCATCTCTGTGCCTCGCTGGTTTCTGGTTGGAGGAAGAACTTGCAGAGTTAGCAGGCTGAGAGTGGTGAGAGGATTGGTACTGCTTAATGAGATACATCTTACTAGATATTTTAGAAATTTCTGTCTGTCCGTCTGTGAGTCCATTTATTCTAGAACTCCTCCTAAACAGTAAAAGCTAAGACTACCCAATTGCTTCCTCTCCTCATAACTTCAAGCAAAGTAGGGGCTTGGTTGTACCAAGACAATGGGATGTGCCTGGTATTAAATTGTTTCTCATAAAATGGAAAGGGAATGGTCTGGTAGGAGGGAGTTATACTGTAGAAGGATCAAAGGGGAGCAAGGGGCCAATGTTGGGGACCAGGATAGTTATAACACCATTGGTCCAGCAGGGGGCAGGAGTGGAGAAAGGAAGAGCTATCTACTATATAATTCAGAGAGTTTGTCTATTTGTGTGTCTGGTGGTCTGTCCCTCCCAGCTGAGACACATGCACCTCTCTCCCAGCTGTACCCACTGGAGCTGCAGTGGCTGTAGAGACATACTTCTCACCTGGCTCCAAGCTGCTGTGGTGACAGAGGGCTGGGATTGTCCTCTCTCCCCACCCCAGAACAATGATTTAAATGAAGAAAAACAAAACTTATTTGAGTTAGGACCCAAGCAATGCTGGGTAAATCTAGTCTATCTACATTTCTAGAGTGCAGTCCCTGCAATATCTGGACTCTGATACCTGATTAAAAATCAAAGTGAGTTATATTGAAAGTAGGACCAAAATCCACGTGCTTGATAACAGCCCTGACCTAACAAGGCTAGAACACTGATCTTCTCTAGACCCTCAAAAACTGACCAGTCCTTATGGAGTTTAACACTAAGGGTATGTCTAAACTACATGGCTCCGTCGACGGAGCCATGTAGATTTGTTTGTTCGGCAAAGGGAAAGGAAGCCACGATTTAAATAATCGCGGCTTCATTTCCCTTTGCCGAACAAACAAATCTACATGGCTCCGTCGACGGAGCCATGTAGATTTGTTTGTTCGGCAAAGGGAAAGGAAGCCACGATTTAAATAATCGCGGCTTCATTTCCCTTTGCCGAACAAACAAATCTACATGGCTCCGTCGACGGAGCCATGTAGATTTGTTTGTTCGGCAAAGGGAAAGGAAGCCACGATTTAAATAATCGCGGCTTCATTTCCCTTTGCCGAACAAACAAATCTACATGGCTCCGTCGACGGAGCCATGTAGATTTGTTTGTTCGGCAAAGGGAAAGGAAGCCACGATTTAAATAATCGCGGCTTCATTTCCATTTGCCGATCAGCCTAATCTACATGGCTGCATCGATGGAGCCATGTAGTTTAGACTCACCTTAAGACTCGCCACAGTCCCATTGGTTAAATGCCCAGTTCTTTAGATATATTGTCATTGATCTTGTAATGGACATATTCAGCTATCATGCTTCTTCACTGCAATTGGCGCAGTTATTGCACCTTGGTACTACATTTATAGACATGCCCCATAGGAATTTGGATGCAAATATGCAAAAGTCATATATTCCTTATCCAATTAAATCAAATGAAACTGGCTTCCTCTCTCAAACACACCACAAAGCTTCTACTACCCTCCAAACACTCCCCTTCCCCACACACCAGGAAAAAAGGAATGGATTTCAGTGTTGTCATTTTTTACATCCCACTGGGCATTGCAGAATGTTGTAGGCTTCCTACACCACTTGGTGCAGCAGTTGCAGAAGGGGCCTTACAGTTTAATATGTTAATACATACTTTTGAATTGCTTTCCTTGTGTGTCACAGCAATACGGTATCCGCCATTAAAATGCAAGGGCAGCAAGAATGAGAGCAAGGTCAGCTGCTCTGTCTGCAGTGACACTGTACACAGAAAACTCAGTCATTTACAACAGTGAACTGGTGCCAAAACAGCCATGAGAAATGCAAAGATGAGTGGTTTTAGAGAGGTAGCCGTGTTAGTCTGTTCCAGCAAAAACAATGAGGAATCCTGTGGCACAAGTTTATTAAAGCATAAGCTTTCATGAACTGCATCTCACTTCATCAGATGCATGAAATGAAAGTGGCAGGGATTTATACATACATATAGAGATGGGAGTGTTACATCAGTGCTAATGCGGCTCATTTAATCAGGGTGGATGTGGCCCACTTCCAACAGTGATAAGAAGGTGAGAATACCTAAAGGGGAAAATTACTTATTGTAATGAGCTAGCCATTCCCAGAGATGAGTGGCTGTAAAAAGGCTGTAATGGAACAAAGAGCTGCTTAATGAGAAGAATTTCTTTCTGCTCCTTAAAAATTATGGTGGGAATACTATGGTAAATCTTATAGGCTCAGATCAAGTATTGAGCAAGTGACAAGAAAGGATAACCTGCCTCCCAGAGACACTCCAAGGAGAAAGAGAGATAGACTAATAAGATATATCAGAAACAAAGTGCTGTATCTATTGGAAGAGTTCTTGGTTCCCTATACTTCATGAACAAGGAACAGGATTTTTTGTCTGAACATGCTCAAAGACTATAAAGCTATGGCCAACCTCAGAAACATCAGTTGCACATTGGTATACAGGCAGTCCCCGGATTACGTACAAGATAAGGACTGTAGGTTTGTTCTTAAGTTGAATTTGTATGTAAGTCGGAACTGGTACATATTGTAGGGGAAACTCTAACCAAACATTTCTCCAGAGCTCAGTTTTATTCTCCCACACCTCACTTCCCTCAGTCCTTTATTCTCAAGCTGAAGTGTCTGCTGAGAAAAGCCGCTCCGCGTCTCCCTGGTCTGCTGGGGGGAAGCAGCTGGTACGGGGTTTCCTCACCCCTTTTGTAAGTAGGGATCTGATGTAAGTCGGATCCATGTAACCCGGGGACTGCCTTTATTTCATTTGACTTCAATAGAATTGTTATAATAAAGGGGAGCAAACCTGCACACCCCCTCCCCCTGAATAATATATATATATATATATATATAACAATACACCTGCAAGAAATTAGCTAGTTATGTATGGTAGACAGAGAGCCAGTTGGTGACAGTTTATTG